ACTAATATTATAAACATATTTACCTGGATGAATTTATTGGAAAATGTGAAAAAAATCAACTGTACACAGAGTTGAAAAAAAAATTTCGGAGTGTCGATTTTCTTTTTGTTGTCGCAGAGAGGTTATAATACGTGTTCACAGCTCGAGTGCTATATAGAAACTGAGCTTAGTATAAGACGAGCCGATGACAGTTGGTTGCAGCTGTCAACCTATACTAGGGAAAAAAATATCGCGCTAGCCCTGGATTCCCCACCTTCCCCTACATATATAGCAAATATATGCATACATATGAAATTATATTACATTATCAAAGATAAGAAATATTTAAAGAGTAGCTATTTGCCCATTAATTACAAAAATTGGTTGGAAAGTTGCCTAAATTAAAAATAACGTTATCAATTTTGCATGAATTCATACAAATTCGCAAAATGATATCCATATCAATAGATGTGATAGCATGTTAGCGTATAAAAATATAAGCCAAAAGGCCAACATTCGTCAGTAATAGCAGTGTATATTTCTGAGCATAATTTTCATTGAATTTTCTGCTCTGTTAACTCGTTTCTGGTAACTTCTCTCCTGCCGAGCCAAAATAGGTGAAATCCATGAATAGAAAATTCATGGCACTTGACACTTCACACGCTTGTCCTTGTTTTACCTTCTCTATAAATGTACGTTATCCGGTTGTAGTATTAAAAAGTTTAAATTATGGAAGCATCTACAAACGAAATCTCCGACATACTATATGTTTATGTGTGAGCTTGCATGCATATCGACGCGGATTTTTGGGAGCCGCGTAAAAATATTTTAGAGTTACGAAATATTTTTTACATTCCTTGACAAATACAGTCAATTCCGGTTATGTGCCACAATCAAAGATACAGATTTTTGTGGTTTGTTAAAAATAAAAATATAATATGGTAAATAAGCGACTGCGGATACTTAAGCGAGTCGTACTTGAAACAATACTTTCTATGTGATTAAAAAAAACAAAGCTTGAGATGCAGCAAGAAACAGGAGGTTAAGAGGGATTGGCACTTATTCGGGATTGGCTGTACACATAAATCAGAGGAATATTGAATATTTTCATGAACATCGGCAAATAAACGACGTTGTCAATTTTATTCTAATATATTTGAATAATTATATTTGCAGGGTTGTTACTTTTCCCTTCTCATACAACTTTCAGAAATATATTAAATTTATGATTTTTAGCTTTGGCCATCGTCGCGAAAAGACGCTTGTTGGCAAAGATGCTCGGCAAGATGTAATGACGTCTGCTTTTATGAATGAATCGAATGTGCCTTTTGAAAGTGCGTTTAAGAAAAATTTTTCGTCGTGTAATTTACTAAAAAATTTGGCTGACAAATTGATTTCTGATGCTATTTGAGACGATTGTTGTTTTTGCAGAACAATACTTATAGCTTTTGCGGGTGACATATTCACATGTGTACGCATATACATAATGAATATAAGTACGTGTGAYGATGTTTGAGACGATTGTTGTTTTTGTAGGACAATATTTGTAGTTTTTGCGGGCGACTTATATACATGTATGTATATGCAGATATGTACTTACATACATATCAAATTATATTACATTATCAAAGATAAGAAATATTTAAAAAGTAGCTCATTTGCCCATTAATTACAAAAATTGCTTGGAGAATTGCATAAATTAAAAATAATGTTATCAGTTTTGCTTGAAACCATAAAAATTCGCAAATGATATTCATATCAACTGATATTATAGCACGTAATCGTATAAAAAATATAGGCCAAAAGTCGAACATACGTCTGGAATAGTAATGTACTGTATATAATACATTCATTTAATGCTCAGCTCTGTTCGCTCATTTCTGTTAAAAATTTCTCCTTCCGAACCGATAGTGGTGAAATATGAAACTATGACTTTTATGAACTAAATTTCGTAAATTATTTTGTATATTATTTAAATTAAATTGAAAAATAAATATTATATATATATAGTAAAGAAAATTTGCTGAAATTCCCCTCTAAATTTGCTCGTCCTAGGGAATTTTCTAACTTGCCTATATAGACGGACCGGCCGTGAGCCAGTAAGGAATGACGATACGAGTTCCAAATAGAGAAAGAAATTATTTGTTTATAAATATGTAACAATTGTTTATAAAACAATTCTAAAAATTCAAAGTATACATACACTTGTGCTCACATAATTAAGCCTCTTATACACATCTAGATGTGTATAAGAGACAGGAGTAGGACCACTTGTACAAATTGAGGGCAAAATGACTGGCAGTATGTACAGAGACATTTTAGCCGAACACCTAGATAAAAATTACGCCGATAATTTACCACTAGCATGGATATTTCAACAGGATAACGACCCAAAGCACTGCTCCAGGGTCGTTAAGGACTGGTTTGCGATGAACCGTATCAAGTGTCTTGAGTGGCCTGCCCAAAGCCCGGATTTAAACCCTATAGAGAATCTRTGGGGGATTATTAAAAGGGCAGTTGCGGCGAGAAAACCGTCAAATAAGGCTACGTTGTGGCAAATTTTAAATGAAGAATGGAGCAAAATTACTCCGGACCAATGTAACACACTAGTCCGTACAATGAACCAACACTGCAGGGAAGTAATTTTGCAAAAGGGATTCCCAACAAAATATTAGTCTAAATAAGGCAAGTTTTTTTGAACAAAACATCGAATTCCTTTATCTGACAGCTTATTTTTGCAGGTGGCTTAATTATATGAGCACGAAAAATACATACCAATGAAGAAGAAAACAGATTTTTGCTTTTACATTAAAATTTACCTTTAAAAAMCTATAAGTACAATAAAGTTTAAGTACTTTCTTTTAATTTTGTGAAACTTTTTTTTTTCGATTTATCAATAAAATTCAACTTTTATGAATTTATACACCATAACGTTTATGTGGCTTAATTGTGTGAGCACAAGTGTATATCATTAGAAGGTTGAGAAAAAGTCGTAAAGAATAGTCCGGCTAGTTATTTTCATAATGAAATAATTTTTTTTTATACGTAAATATGAAGATGTTTTTTGCGGACTCTGAAATTTTGAATATGTATAATTCCAAAATTCTTTATATTGAGTCGATATAGAAAATACGTGTCCACAACAACAACAAATTTTTTACGTAAACTTTTAGATTGTATGATCTTTATGTGTTACTGAGTTGGAACCTGGATCAGAATCTATTCTAATATTTTACTTAACTTAAATATGACTAGGTAATATTATTAATAGAATATATTGGGTAGTCGACTATCTAATATGTACATTATACGAAAAAATAGCAATGCATTTTTTTAACCACGGGATTCTGTACCGTGATACAAGTCTCTAAATTTGAGATTTTAAGACAGAGACAATTTTTGTGACTTGAGACGATTTTGCTATTCTGAAAGTGACAGTCACAAAATTTATTACATTTCATTATTCAGAGATGTTTTTATACTTGAATGAAAATAAATATGTCGATAACAAATATTAAATTTTCTATAACATAGTCAAAAAACATAATTACGAATAAAAATAAAAATATACTTTGTTTCGTAATATTTACGCAATTTATGTAAAATTGAGGTGATTTTCGTGTTTGAGTTGCTTACAAAACATATAAAACGACAATCGGTTAATATGTATGATGATCTCTACTCAGTATATTCAAATTGGCAAAGAAGGGTTCTTCATAATTTTGTGACGTGCTAACTATAAGGTTTCAAATATGAGTCAATATTTTGAGACTAACGACAGAGACTGTTTAGTGAATAGTAACTAATCGCAAATTGAGACTTCCCTTAAATTGTCTCAAATAGTGACTAGAGGCAGAATTCCGCTGTAATCAGTGGTTGAAAGCTGGCAATCTTTTACTGAAAACAGTTTTAGGGCCAACGTAGTTAACGTCAGGTTTTCCTGGCACATCTACTATTTTGTTTTTTTGCATACTAATTTGTCGGAGAAAGCGGGTTTGTTGATTTCTAAAAAAAAACAATTATTGAAAATAATGAAAATTTTCTAAGATAATTTTTACTTTCCATATTAAAGAATCTTCAATTTTCGTCAAAAATTGTAGTGCTTCGTTCACCATGCTTCCCAACACTATTTCATCACAAAAGCGTAAGCATTCGAGCGAATACCATGATCCGGATTACATACGATTGTATTCAAGTCCATATAAAAAGTTGCGCCATGGTGAATCTAATATTATGGGAAAAAACGTATTTTTAACACCCACGAAAACTAAATTGAAATGTATTTCCGAAATAATTTCAAATGAGTTTCAAAAGGAAATATCTTTAAAACAAGAACATTTAGCTGCGATTGAAAAACGTTTAGATCAAGCTCGCTCTTTGTTGGATCGTTTGCGGTATGTAATTGTATCAGACTATTACCAGAAACAAGACTTATCAATATCAGCATATGATACCCTAGCAATTCGTGGAAAAGAAACTCTTTTCGAAAAAGAGGTTCATGGTCTTCAAATAGCACTGCACCCATCTTTTAAAAAAAGAATGGGAGACTACCCCAACAAAATGTATGAAGTTACACAACGTTCTCTACCTGAGCGTGTAGCGGCTCAAAATGCATTGAACACCTTACGATCCCGATCTCAATCACAAAAACACCAAAAAAAATGTTTAAAACAATCAATAAAAGATCAAGGTTTAGTGATACATCATTCAAAAGAAAAAGAAATACCGATTGTAGATGAAGTTAATACATTTGATCAAATGAGATCTCACAATAATGATTTCACAGATTTACAATCATCTAAAACCGGTAAGATGGCTAGTTTTATTCAATCAGAAACTAGAAAATCATTGAATTCAGCTCGTTTTAACAACAAAACAAAACATCTTGTTGTTATAGGAAATACTTCAACGTATATAGGAGGAGAAGTAGATGCTAGAGCTGAAGTAAAAATATCAAGCGAAAATATGTTAACCCATAAATGGTTAGTTTATGTGCAATCAAAAGATGCTAAAATTAATTTAGAATCCTTTATAAAAAAAGTTCGTTTTCATCTTCACCCTTCATATCGCCCAAATGACATAGTAGACATTAGAACGGCGCCTTTCCAAATAGCCCGCAGAGGGTGGGGTGAATTTCCAATGAGAATTCAGCTCTTCTTTCATGAACATCTACAACAAAAGCCTGTACAACTTATACATAATGTGGTACTTGATCGTACGTTAAGTGGAATGCACACTCTTGGTTCAGAGACCTTAATGGAAATTTGGATTCGTTCTGATATTATAATTACCAAAGCAAAAGATGAGCCGTTGTTTGATGTAAAGAAAAACGTCTATGAAAATATACAACCGTTTACAAGTGAAAATATTTTTGAAACAGGCGAAAGAGATCATGGAAATAACACGAAGCATCGTAAAATATCCTTCACAAATAACAAAGAAGATTTAGACGATAATTTATTCGGGGTTTTTAACATGGATTCAGCTTCTGCTGATATTACAAAAATAGAGCCATCAGTTGTCGTAAACGAACAGCTTGCAAATATTTCAAATAATAGTCCGATTAAAATAATCTGCAAGAGTCTCCAAAAGTCAGACTGTTCATCAAATAATGAAATAAATGACTCCCCTCTAAGCAAAGATAAGATAGTATGCGCGAATAGTGGTGAAATATCGGAACTGAACAGTAAAAGGACTAGCGAAGAAGAAATTTTTACAAAAAGTGTTATTGTTAGTCAATCCTCTACTTCAAATATTAGTAATACTCGATGTAATATATCAAACCTTAGATATGCAAAAATTGTCAACACAAAATCGACAAATAAAAATTCTGACATAAGTAAAGAAGTTGTTACTACTATAAAAAGTAGTAAATCAATGCAGCTCACAACTCCTATGATAATGAAGCTTTCAACTACAAATGTGGCCAATGCCCATCAAGTTTCAAACACTAACAGAAACAATAATAATATTGTTGCATTAAGTAAAGTAGGAAAGTTTATGCCATTAAAGATTACAAATATGAATAAATTTGTCGCGCTAAATAGTAATTCTGCTTTCGCAAATATGCCTGTGGAGAATGCAGATGAAAAAACTGTGTTGCAAAAGAAATTGGTACAGTTGGTGGATGCGGAGGGCAAAATAAAATTTATGCAAGTTTTAGTGGCTACAACACAAAAACCAGTAGGGGACGCGAAAATGGGAAGCTTATTAAATGGTGAGTAAAAAACCGAGATCTTCATGTTTACAAATAAATAAAATACCTATGAAAATATACCTAAAATAAGTATCACCTAATTAGATTATTACAAATTGTAACACACCTACAGCGAATAATAATAATAATTATTTTTTTATACTTATTGTTGTACTTCTTTGAAATTTTGCAGGAACTGCTGACTCGTCTCAAAATTTGGATAGTGTATTATCTGAATCAAGAAAGAAAAATACATTTACCGACTCCTCTTTGGCGATGGAAAAGCATGCCTCAAAACTATTAACCGTTTCAAATGATGTTAATCGTAGCAATTTTTTAGTGACAAATAATAATGGTAATTTCCTTGCAACAAACAACATATACAATTCAAAAAGTAAAAATAATTCTGTAAGCTCTCAAAAACAAATGGTTTTTCAAAAAGGAGGAAAATTATTCATTATTGACCCCTTACAAATGAAATTGAAGCAGGAACGAAAGAAACAAGTTTCCTTATTGAAACCGCAAACCAATTTACAGAGGCAACATCAACAGCAGATGCCAAAGCAAAAAGTACAACATAAAGCTCTACAAAGTATGCTATATGATCATGATTATACACACTCTTCGGTAAAACTTAGTAAAGACAACATCACATTAAGCAATCCAGAAATGATATCAGGATCAATTAAATCACATGTACCGGAACTCCATTTGGGTATAAGGCAAACACGGGCCAAAGCAAGTAGTGCGTTTGAGCTTCTGCAGCAGTGTAGAAGTAAATTCGAACAAGAGTTTTTGAATCAAAATTATAATTCAATGAATTCCGCTATAGACTACATATTACGACACTTACCTCTTATTTCACCCAAAAATACTTTAGCATCCGCTTTCTCTTTCGTAAGCAATAGCGAAAAGGAATTCGACTTAATGCCCGTTTTAAAACAACGCGCATGCGAATGGTTGCGCGCTAAATACATCACTTGCTTTGTTCGCAACCACAAATATTTAAAAGCGATTACTTCTAATAACAAATGGCGGTTTTGGAGCACACGTGAAGTACTAGTTTATGCTCGTTATCACGCATTCACCCCAAAGATGAAGTCATTTGACATAACTCTATCCTACCCGGTGCAAGTACAAAATATGCCTGACCAGCTTACTGAACCAGAGAAATTACAAACTGATAATCTATTGCAAGGACATGACTTTTCACAGTTTGTCAAAAACGAAGTTAAATTCGAGCAGAAGTATATACAGTATGAATCAATAACTCCAAAACATCGTATTACATCTTGGCTCGATTGTGGGTGCCAAAATATTATTGACCAAGAAACTGGTGTAGAATTCTCCGAGGAGCCAATTGATATCATTAGTATATCGATGTCAAAGAATCGTAACAGATTTAATATAGAACATCTACGATCAAATCCAAATCGTTGTGAACAAGAACAGCAGTTCTATTTAGCAATCCCGGAACACCTAGAAAAGTCTTCTCAACTTGTAAGCGATATTTGCAGAGATTTTAATATACAACTGCAACCGGAACAAATTGGTGGAAATTTAATATATCCTTTAGCGCAAACAGTATTGTCCCAGTGTTTAAACACATTCATTGAAAAAATTATAAGACGTGCAGTAGCCTCAAAGCAAAATCCACCAACTACTGATAGTCTGAATATCACAACGCAAGATATTGGGAATGTTTTGGTTCGGCACGCTGAGTTTGACTTTCTAACAAACAAATATTTTGGAATTCATAAAGATAATAGTCGCTAAATTAATAGCGAATTTGTTTTAAATATATATTGCTTTCTTTTGGGATAATTTGTATAGTATTAGAAGGTTTTCTAAATTACTGAGATATTAGAACCAAGACATTATTTGCCTATAAATATTATATCTAGATATACTGTAATGCTTCATTAGTTAAGTTTTATTTTAAGTGTTAGTAATAAATTGTTACTTAAACTTAAATTAATTGTTTTTATATTTAAAATTTTCGAGTGAAATGTGATTTTTCTAGTCTTGCAACCAGTTGCTACACAGTAATATAGTTTTGTTCACCTAACGGTTGTACGTACCACCTGAAATAATCGAAATAGATATAGAGTTATATATATAAATTATCAGGATGACGAGAAAAGATGAAATCCGTGTAACTGTCGGTCTTTCCAAGTGTATGTCCGTCCGTGCAAGCTGTAACTTGAGCAAAATTGAGAAAAAAAAATTGAAAATGGGTATACGGGTTCCTTAGTACAAAGAAAAAATTAGGGGATCGCAATAGCAAGAGGCGCCTGTGAGAAAAAATGTTTAATGTACATATTTTCTAAACTACTAAAGCTACAAAAATATTATAAGGTGTTCTATCGACAGTGTGAAAATTGCCGAAATCGGAAGGTAACCGCGCTCACTCCCCATATAACGATACTGTTCAAAACTACTAAAAGTGCAATAAATCCGTAATTGAGTATGCCAAAGACATTAAGGCGGGTATTGTCACTTGCGAAGCGAATGAAAATTTTGGCGAGTTTCGCCGTGGCGAATTGTAAGTTGCGAATCTCTTAACGAATTCGCCAGAAAATGGCGAACGAGCGACAAAAATAAATTTCTGGTATTGCCGCTGGCGAAAAAACGGCATTCGCTTCGCCATTACTATCAAAATTTAACGAATGTATTTTTTTTATTTGAAATGGAAAGGACGTAAGTGAATTTTGATCTTTATTTGAGCAATTGTAATTTTTTAATTATATTTAACAAAACGATACTTCTAGAACAAAACGTACAACAACGCACCAAATCGGTTGCGTTAATGGAAAATAATCCGGACGTCGCCAGAGGAATGGGGAATTTTGGATCGACAAAGAAAAGCAGGGCAGAGCAATGGGACCTGTTCGCTGCCGAACTCAATGCCATTGGTCCACCATTGYGAAACGGGCGCGAGTGGAATAAGGTAAAAATTTAATTAATTTGTTTGGTTGAAATTACTTATGCGTAGCATTTAGGTTTGGTTAGATTATAAACTGAAACTAAAAAAAAAAAAATAGCGACAAACCGACGCGACCTGTTGCCACAGGAGGAGGACCTTATGCTCAGCAAAGTTTATCGCAATCCTCAAGCAGCCGTCCTAGAATGATAGTAGAGGAACGTGAAGTCATTCGGATGAAAGCGTTTGAAAAGCAAGCCGAAGTTCAAGACACCCTTTCCAACAAAATTCCAAAAATGGAAAGAAAAATAGATGATATTGCACGGTATGCAAGAAAAACATATGAACTCAAACAGGAAGAAATTAAATTAATGAAAATGAAAGAAGAAAGGAAGAAGGAAGAGAATTTAGAAAAAAAAGACATAAAGAAAAGATGGAAATAAAACTAAAAATTTTAAAATTAAAAATGCAAAAAAATATGGTAAATAGGGTGCTTGTAAATAGATTGAATTTAGTTTATAGTTTATTTCATAAGAATGTGATGAATTTTTTTTTATTTCATATTTTAACCGAACTTGAAATTGAGATTTTTTTAAGAAAACATGTGATGAATTTATTTTTACTTTATTATTGTAAGTGACGGAATTGAATCTGTGATTTTTTTAATTTGATTTAAAGGCATGTAGCTTTTGTAATTTTTATATATTTATTATCTATGTAATATTGAATTTCAAAGTATTCAATAAAATAAAAGAATACAATATATTATTCACTGAAGTCGGTATAGTTTCATTTACATCAAAGCATCAGCAATTTGTCTTCTGCGGCGCTCTCCTGGTGAACCATTGCCATTTTCATTAATTGTTTCCAATGGTACAACGGCATCAGTTTCAGCCTCCTCCGGATCACCGATTCTAAATTTTTTACAAATGTTGTGCAAGGCGCAGCATATATTAATAACGGATGTTACTTTAGCAGGATCGTAGCGCATTTCTCTATCACTCAGAAGACATCTGAAACGGGATTTCAAAACTCCAATCGTACGTTCAATAACATTCTCGCTTTTGCGTGCTTCTTATTAAAAATTGACTCCCTAGTTCCAGATTCTGCATGACGGAAAGGTGTTAATAAATAAGGGCTTAGGTATCCGGAGTCACCTGCAAATGTATTTTTGTTTTCAATATTCATATGTCAAATACCTAAATAAATAGAGTTCTGATCTCCCCTTTGATGCGCTGCCTCTAAACATGCCTTTAGAGAACTATTATTCCATACGAACGAATCGTGTGTAGAACCAGCATATCTAGCATCCACAAAACGGATATTCATATCATGATCACAAGCCTGTAATAAAAATTCAATAAAATTTTTATACCAATTTTACTGTATTAAATTCATAAAAACTCACAATTATTGCATTTATGCTAAAAAATAATTTTCTGTTTAGATAGACGGGTTTGTTTGTGGTAGAAGCATAAATTGCAATATGGGTTCCATCGATGCAGCCTATTACATTTGGTATTCCCGATCTTGAATAAAATTTGCTCCTGCAAATTCTTCTTCACTCATATCTACGCTTATACGGGTACGACAAATTTCATTTTCCAAAATGGGTATGATCTCTTTTAAGTAGTTCGCGTTTCCACATCGTAATTATCCTCAAAATACAGATCCGCGTTGTTAAACATATTTTCGAATTTCAGTTGATATAATAATAGATATTTTTAAGTATAAATGACACATTCGCCATTCACAATGCAAATTTGGGGTATGTTCGCCAAAGTGTTCGCTTCGCCAAATAAATTCGCTTCGCAAGTGACAATACCCGCCTAACTTTTACCTCCGAGATGGTACGAGGAGCTTTATGTTAGTCCGATTTGGTACTTGATATTGTTCTAGCATTTTTATATTATATTACTGCGTGAAAATGGGCGAAATCGGACCACAACCACTTTCCATATAACACAATTATAACACTGTCCGCTATACAAATCAAGAAGCAATCAATGTAACGGTATAAAACTCTGCATAATTAGTACCTTTAAAGTATGCCACCCTATGCCTAAAATTTATCCAAATCAAACCAAAACTTCAAGCCCCTAGGTACCTAATTTGCGCACCCCTGTACCTATAGTTGACTTTTGACAGAAAATATTAGTCAATGTATGAGAAATTAATTGTCCGGGTAACTTTATACCGCATATGTATGTATATCGGCCAATATGTGAGTTATCCCAATGAAAATAAGAAAGCCTGCTGCCCTCATAACAGTATATCTTTGTGCATAAAATAGGTAAATTTGAGTGGAAACTTGGCCTAGCCCCTATAGAACCAATATCAGCATTTTCGAATATCCGGCTAACTTTACACTATGATTGGTTTCACACCTTAAAGTATTTCTCTGAATTTTATTCTTGCAAGTTGCAAAACTATAAAATGTTCTTTTGTAAACGAACTTAGCCCTTAATTAAAACAACTTTGTTATATCGGAAAGCTTTAGATTCCGTTTATTAAAACTGAAATTTTCTTCAAAACAAGAAATAGGTATACAATTTTTTTCTAAATATAAAATTTTTTTTTTAATATTCTGTATATCCTTTGTGGTTTATCATACGTTTTCCAATTCTATTTGGCATGTATTGAATTACTTTTTGACAGCTTTCCAATGGAGTATCAATGTTTTCCGCCACAATTGCGTTTCTTAAGGTCACTCCATAAGTTCTAAATCGGATTGGGATTAGGGGATTGTATCCTTAAACCACTCAGATATCAATCAAAAATATCTCCATACTCAAAGTCGATCATTGTGGTCAAAATAAAAGACCAACGCCTTGCTCAGAGAAACATCCCCACACCATTTAGTTGCCGCCATCCTGTTTAATTGTCTTTATTATGTAACTAGAGGATGCATCTTTTTATGTTGCTGATACATATATTGTACTACTAATACCATCTAGTATATGATTTCCAGTCAGCCATTATATTTAAAAGAAGGAAGTATTAGTTAATGAATTATAGCTCTGCACCAGAGAAATCATCCTTTGAAAAGAGATTTGCTAAGTTGGAAAGAGGCGAAATAAGCACCGAGGGCAATGAAGGCAGTGAACGCCTTAAAGAAGCGAAATCTCTGTGAAAAGTGGGTGACATGCAAGTTCATAATCCAACAAAAACAACGAATTGCTGATTCTGAGGATTGTTTGAGTGCTCTTTAATCGTAATGAAACCGAATTTTTGTGTCGGTGTGAGACAGTAGAAACATTCGTCCATCATCACTACAGTCCAATCGAAAGTCAGCCTAGTGCACAGCAAATTTTGAACCAGTCCTGAAACGTGGAAAGACGTAAAAGTCGGCTGGCAAGGTTATGGTATCAGTCTTTTGCGATGCACGTGTTTTAACATTCATCGACGAGTTATGATTCATTGCACTGCGTAGTTGCTTGCGTTCTATTCTACCATCCCCAATATTTAGCAATTGTATTATTTTTGAGGAATGACCACTTTGAAATTGTACGCATATACTTCATCGTTTCCGTTTAAATATTGCACTGTTATGTGTAATGCTTTGAAAATGTTTCTGTTTATCTCAAATTGTAATAGAACTTTTTATCAACAATGCAGTTCTTCCGCTATTTTTTATGTTAGTTTGTTGTGAATGCATTTCCGTCCTACGGCCATAATCTAGTAAAGCAGCCGCCTAGATGAGGGAAATGTCAATGCCATATTTTGCTAAGTCTGTACTAAGTAGACCAGATGGAATTCCGAATAAAGCGCTAAAACAGCGATTGCTAAAAACATATACAATGTATAATATATGCATCCAGGGAGGCCGCTTTTCCACCATATGGAAAAGGCA